ATTTCTCAAAGCATTCGGACTTGCGGTGCAACAAGTAAATGTACTCATATCTAGAAAAATCATCAATAAAAGTGACGAAATACTCATAGCCTCCTCTAGCTTGGATCGACATAGGACCACACAAATCAAAATAAATCAATCCTAGCACTTCTTGGCTCCTTCGCCCCTTTGCCGAAAACGGCCTCTTGGTCATCTTACCTTCTAGGCAGGACCCGCAAGTCTGGTAATGATCTTCCACTATACCAAGATGCCCAGTAGATACCAACCTTTGAATCCTCCTAAGGTTGATGTGCCCAAGCCTAAGGTGCCAAAGATATGCTTGATTCATCGTAGACTCTTTTCTCTTATTAGTTTTAGTCAAGACATTATTCGATTCATTTTGTTGCAGTGTGGGAGACTTTGGTTTCAGAACATATAGATTGCCAACCATTGAACCAGAACAAATCAAATGATTACCATAACGAATAACAACTGAGTTATTAAACGAAACTGAATAACCATTCAAAACGAGTTTAGAAACTGAAATTAAATTCTTCCTAAAACTTGGAACAAAAAGACAATTGTTCAAAACTAAAATACTAGCATCAAATACTAAAGTAACTACTCCCACTGCAACTGCTGCTACTTTCGTAGCATTGCCCATGTAGACTGTAATCTCTCCATCCTTAAGCCGCCTGGTTTCCTGGAACCCCTGCAAAGAATTGCAGACATGATCAGTGGCTCCAGTATCTACACACCAGGTACTGGTAGATACAATTGCTAATCATGTTTCTACGACGAAAGTATGAGAGTTACCTTCTTTGCCCTTCTTGAGGAGAGGACAATCGACCTTCCAGTGCCCTGACTTATTGCATTTGTGGCATCTACCTTTCGGCTTCTTTGCCACAGCCTGTTGAGGCACTAACTGGGTGCTCTGTGCCTTTGCCTTTCCTGCAGCCTTCTTCCTCTTCCTGCCCTTGTGAGACTTGGAAGGTCTGGCTTGCTCGGCAACCATCACAACTGATTTCTGAGTGAACAAGGCCTCAGCCGACTGAAGTTCTGACAACAGTTCTGGAAGAGCCATATGCATCTTGTGCATGTTATAGTTCAACCGGAACTGATCAAAACTCTTCGGCAGAGATTGGAGCATGATATCGATCTGGGTTTCCCCGTCAATAAAACCTCCAAGAACCTCTAGCTCATTCATCTGCGCCATGATCTTGAGAGCATGCTCCCCTACGGGTGTACCCTATGCCATGCGCGTGTTCATCAGAGCACTTAAAGCCTCTTGTC